TGGCTCAGTTTCTTGAAAGCGCGCCTCTGGCGCAAATCACGTTGCTGTGCTTCGAACACTGATGTTTGGCCAAACGTGTTGTTTCATGGAAGCATAAGATCCGAAAACATTTTCACGCAAAGGCGCAGCAACGTGTTGGGGTTGGCAGGCAAACATCAACCAGTGATGTTACACACCTGCTTCTGGGGAACCTCGTAGCTAAGTTGGGCAAAGAGCTCATCAATGCTTGTGGCGAAAACAAAAGGGTGTTGTGTCTAAATTCGCAGTTTGAAGGGATAGGAGTGAAATTGCGACATGTTGGAGCTTTGTTGATCCGGACCCCAGAACTTTCATTGACTCATGTGCCTGCAGGTGTGCGCTTCAAGCACCGACAAGAGCCAACTTCAAGTCATCAGGCGTGGCTCTTCGCTTGTCAATTCGGCGGGTTTCATGTAGAAAAATGCATCAATAAGGAGCTCGGTACCCATGGGAGCTTGTTGCAAGGAGCCTTGGTAGCTATGGATATGTTTGTCCATGAGAGCTCTCATTTGTTTTCCGTTTTTTCCCATGGTGAGGCAGCAGCCTCATCATCATCAAAATCAAAACCGAAGCCTTCGCAAGCGCCGTGGTTGAGACAAAGCCAGGAGCTGTGGATAGTTTCCAACCCCCCCCAAAAAAAAAACCAACGAGATCAACGTAGGATCTTCCTCGGCACTAGTGCCAACATTGTCAGTTATAGTTCCCTTCCATGCAGGGATTGAGCCATTTTTAGTTTCCTGCGAAACACACCCAAAAATGCACATGAACCGCGTTTTCCAATATTGGGATTTCAAAAGGTAGCCCTCCATTTGTGTCTGCTGGGCGAGCCACACAACGTTGGATAATGAAAACCCTGGGGCTACCCGATTTCCTTGCCTGCAGGAGCCGACAGCGAGCGACGACCATGGCCAAGGCGAGCCTCGGCCGGATGGATGGAAAGGATCACTGACAACCCATACTTGTTTAATGACCACATTGGTCCACCCTATGCCTTTATTCTTGAGGTCCTTAATTGCCAATAAATGATTCTGACCGTAGCTGGGTTCCCGGGAAAATGTTGGCAGTTTGCAAGGGTTTCCTTCGCCGTGCACCTTCAGTTGTTTCCAACAGCCACCCCTGAAACACCTGCAACTTCAAATCATAAACAAAACTGAGGGGTCCTTGAGTTGTCGGGGTTGTTTTTAGAACCACCATCAATGGGCCAATATTCTAGGGGGTGCTAGGGCCTATGTGTTGAAAAGTGGACCCCCCGGTTGCCAATTCCAAGGATGGAATTTTGAGGTACAGCACAGGACTCATTTCTGATATCCCCCCTTTTTCAAGTGCAGACATGTTTGACAACTCCCTCAAATTAGGTTGCTTGGTGGGGAGTTCGTAGCTCGATTGTTTGGCTTCATGAGCCGGGTTATCTTCAAGGGTTCAATGATGCTGCCTTCCAATGGCACCATACTTTCAGGGCTTGGCAAAACATGCCCGAGGCTTCAAAGCAAAGACTGGGTGATTTTCTCATGCAGGAGTTCTCGTTTGGAAGGAGCAGCGGGGCCAAGGCTGGGGGTCCTGGCCCTCATGATGATAAAATCCAATGTATGTTGACCAAAGTTTTCTTTGGCCCCCTTCTTACATCTGTCAATGAAACATCAACTACTTTGGCGCCATAATCGAAAAGTTGTCAACAAGACCCTTTCTTTTCCCTGAAGGTAAGGGAGCTGGCCGAGAAGGCTGTTGAGTGGGCGGCATCTTTGGGCATGGATGTGCCTTCTGATGACATGGTGGCCCGGATCGCCAAATTGGGGGCCCGTGGCAAGCACTCGCAAAACATTGAGCGGGACCTTCACTCTTTGGGCAGAACGCTGGGGCCTACACTCAAAATTCCTGCCATGCCCGTGCCAACACGCATTTATGATTACAGAACAACTGCCGTGACGTGGAAGCAAACCCATATCATTTACCCGGATGACATCCTGCTGTCCTTATGGGAACAAGACCGTGAACTGTGGAAACAATTGTTGGTTGGGGACACGGATTTGGCGGGTTTTTGGGAGCGATGTGGCCGGAGCCACTGGTTTCAGCACCACCCCTGTTACCACGAAGAAAACAAATCCAAGCTGATTCCATTTTCCCTTTATGGGGACGAAATCCAGTGCTTCAGAAACACAGAATCTGGCAGTGTTTCTGTGATGGCGTGGTCAAGCGACATGGCCTTTGACAAGCCGCCTTTGCACAGATACTATTTGATCGCAGTGTATGCTGGACAAACTTCAACCGACTACACATACAATGATATTATCCGAGCTTTGCTTCCACGCCTCCAAAAGCTTTTTTCAAATGACGAATCGTACCCATGGGTGCGAGAAGGATGGAAATTTGCATTTTCTAGTTGCCAGGGAGACTTGAAGTATCTGGTCGAGAAGCTCGGCTTCAACAACTACAGAGCAAACAGATTCTGTAGCCGATGCCCGTGTTCGAAAACCTCTCCCAACGTGGGCCTAACTTTAGGCGACTTCAGGATGGACGCGGAGCACACGAAAACACGATTTCATCACGAAGATTACCTGGCATCATCAAACCCAGAAGATCGCTTCTTGGCTTCACATCGGCGTATTGGTCTGATACATAGGCCCCTTTTGTGTATCGAACCCCTGCCCCTTTCATGTGGCGAACCCTTTTTTGTCTATGCATGGGACCGTTACGTCACGCAGACTCACTTCTTTTTAAAGTGGCCACTCATTTACGGACAGCCCTTCAATTATAGGGAACATGTTGCAATATCCCCTTGATTTAGACCCTTCAAAACCAACTTAATCTGTGGATTTGGATGTATACATCCTTTGCGAGAAATATATCCACCACTTTGACATATATGCAACACCACCTGGCCCTTCACATATGCATGGCCCCCTTTTTTTTGCTTTCTTTTGTAGCCTGCACCGCCCCGTCATCTGTGCATGGGACCCTTCACATATCCACCACCCCCTTGTCTAACGGGACCCCTAAATATACGTGTGTATACATACATTATATATCGCGGACTCTTTTCATGCCTTGCCTTGCGAGGCTCGCCTGTTTGGGGCATTCCGGGCAGCCGGAGTGACCGCCTGCTCCATGACGCTTGTCACGGGCAGCTGCTCGGGACGGGCAAGGCCGCCAACGGGTCTTGTCTAGTGTATTTGTGCGAACGATCCGCCTTTTCGCGGTGGCCTCTTGGCGGCGAATACAAACTCCAGCTTGCAGGAACGCTGCGATCAGCGTACACGTGTTTCCGATCCTGGTGCAAGACTCACGGGTTACAGTGCACTCAGCCTCGCTTCACACCATCACGTGTCAACCGTGCAGTGCGCTCAAGCTTTCCTTCTTTGAACTCCAAAGCTGCGCCATCCAAAATGTTGACTATGTGGCTGACAGATGTTGCAACGGCGTGGGCCGACAAGCCAACCAGCACGGCGCTGGACCGTGAGGTCGCAGTTTGCATCCACTCGTATGCACAAGCCCTTCGAGTCATGGACACGGAGCCGCTTCTGATGTCGGCTGAGTCTGCGCAGGCATATTGCGACCACGTGCTGCTCCACTTGCAAACATACGCCTACTTGCACACGCAGAGCTTCAACACTGCTGGTTCCGTGCCGAATCGCGCCAATTGGCAGCTGCTGCCAAAGCACCACTTTTTTTTTCACTCCGCCCTCGACGTGCTTGAAGCTGGGATTAACCCAAGAATGTACTCATTGCTATGCGGCGAATCGTTTATCGGCGTGCTTGGTCGGATATCCAAAGGATGTCATAGATCCAATGTGTCCTTGCGCTCGATACAGCGCTATCTTTCATGCTTGCACTTCAAGCTTCAGGAGCTGTCGTCACGTCAGCTGGGCTAGTATGGGTGGGTTGTGGTTTGCGACTACGTACGTGCATGGTATATATATATATAGGAATCCAGGGTCCCGTCAACTTCCGTTAACCCCACCCAAATGCTCGGCTCAGGCTGCGGCAGTCGTGGGCAAGGTTCGAAAAAAGCTCGAGCCGGCTCGCCCGGACAGCCCCAAGCCTCCCCCCCCAAACCAGCCCGAGGGCCCGCGAGGGCCCGCGAGGGCCCGAGGGCCCCAAACATGAGTTGGGAGCCTCTGGGTAAGCAACATGTTACGTTTTATATGTGCTTTGGGTAAGAAACAAACATCTAAGTGCTAACATGTTCAAAAACAAACATGAAGTAAGCAACACGGTTTCCAATGTGTGAAGCACCTGTTGAGTCATGCCGAACCAGCATGCTTAGACCTCTTTCAACCATACTATAAAGCTGCTCTGTTCAAGCTCTCTTTTAACCGTCTGTTAAAACGCCGTTATGCCGGGGTGCCCCCATGGTTAGACCCCGGCAGCTGCTTTTGGCCGCGTAAATGGTGAATCATGTTTGGACCTTTGGATGTTCAACCCCGGTCTTACGGACGCCCGGACGTAAAACCATCTAGCTGGCGGCTGGAGCTATCCACAGTTGCCTTTCTTAGCGGAGCTTTGGAGCCACTGGAAGTATTCCCTCAACAGACAAATGGGACAAACCTGCCAACTCGTTTTTGGTTGTCAAACGCCAGGAGGCGCCACCAGAACCACCACATGTTCTTCGCCATGGGGACTTCCTTGCGCCTAGAAAACTCATGAATCGGGTTACTTGCAACAGAAAGCACGCAATCAAATGAAGCTGGGACGGACTTCTCTTTTGATCACACGGGTCTTAGGTTCCAACAGACGGGTTCCGGCGTTTGTCCAAAGGACAATCATGTGTGTAGCGTGCTAGAAATCTGCTAGAACGCATTCAGCGGGTCACCCAAACTACACTCACCAACCAATATGGAAGTGCAAAAAGTCCCTGTCCACGAGGAAAGTCGCCTTTCTACTGGGGTCTGTGCACAAACCCATGTTGGTCAGGCTACCTTCCGGGATGCCGGGATCCTGAGTCAAGCAGCTGCAAGTTGTTTTTTGAAGCGATGGGCTTGAGCCAGGAGCAAGTCAGATCCATGCCATCCGTGCGCCCGGGAGACGAAATGTGGAAGACGCGGCAGAATGACCGGCTCGCGGCTTGGCATCGTGTCCTTAGACGTATTGGAAATATGCGGGTTTTTGTGAAACTAGAGGGACTCCAAAAACCTGGATTTTCTCAAAAACGCTTAACCAACCTGTCAAAGGGTGTGTGCCCTCAAAACCGCAGCAAGGACGACCCTGTGGGCTTTGGCGGAGCTCAGTTCTAATTCCTTTGGAGAGGAGGGGCCGCTCCCCAAATCAATGTACGGGCTGCCTGCTTCGTCGGTTGGACAAATCCAATGGCCTAACCTGGGGTTCAAACCACCATTATAACAAGGGGGCGAAAAAATGAATATTTGTCTAGGGAGTTTCATCATCTAAATTGGGTCAACTTTTTTAATGGAGGTGAAACGCTAGGGTTTATGCCGCAAACACAGTTCTTGCGGCATGGTCATGCGTAGTCCCCCTGTGAACCATGCAGGTCAGTAAGGGATAGTCATGGATAGTTCCAACCTGAATTAGGTGCGCCCTTTTGATTGGTTTGGGAATTCCGTTTTAATACCAGGTTTTGCTTTTGATCATGTTATTTTCATCACGGAAGCTGCAAGCATTTCTTTGGAGTCTTCACAGCGGCACACATCCTGGAGCTTCAACAGCAGTCCTATATTATGATAATTTCTCGCATATCCAATTCTTGGCGGGTGCTCCCGATGGTTTGGGAGGTTCTGCCACAAAAGGTCAACCCCGAAACGGGTGTTTTTGTTCTACCAGGCTGAGTTTCGACTTATGCTACTGTGGAACTCTTGTGGATGATGTTGAATTCTTTGACAGCATGGACATTTGAGATGGAGCTTCTTGCCTCGCTTGTTTGCGTGTCCCCATCCCGAAGTTGAATGGGGTGCATTGATTTATCCAGGGCCCTGTGTTTTTGGTTTGTTCTTCCTGAATAGGACAACCAAACTGTGCTCTGCTTGAGCCAGTCTAGGTCCCCCAGTGGTGCCCTTTTACCCTTTTTTGGGGGAGGGTTCCCCTACTAAAATAGACTACAGAAAAAAAGGGCACCCTTTTTCTAACCTCTCTACTGGAGGACCTAGGAGTGAATGAACTGATATGTTGAGTCTCCCCAGCCCGCTGAAGCTGGACGTTTCTACAATGGCGGTTAGCGAATCATCCGGTTCCTTAGTCCGAATTGAATCGGTATTTCTTTTGCAGGGGATCTAAAAACGGACAGCCCACAAGTAAACTTGTTGTTTTGCAGGTGAAAGTCGACCTGCTGAGCTATTCAGTACCCAAGCTTGTCTTTTCCTCTGAAGGGGTGCCAAGCCCTACTTCCCACCCAACGGATCGAACTAGCATCCCTACCATTGGACCCTCAATCATTCTTGAAGTCTGAAACCTGCTTGTGCTGTCGGTCCACGCAATTGTGTCTGCTTTTGAGGGTACCCCTTGTTTGTGGTTTTGAAGGGAGACCGCAAGGAAAGTCACGACTGTTGGGCATCCGCCACAAAAGCCACATCCATGTGTTTCCTTTTTACATTGCAATGAGGCGAATCCGCTTATTCATGGTTTTTGTTTGAGGGTGGAAGGACAAACCACCATTTTGGGCGTCCCATTTGAAACATGCCCAACATGTCAAGGACTTCAATGGCATTGTTCTTTGTTGAGAGCTTCAGGTTGTTGGCTCTTTGTACATATAGCCTGAAGACCTACATGCAGTTGCATATATATATATATACATATACACATATGTATACATATATAGATATATATACATATTTGTAGATTGTAGATACATATATATATATATATATTTATGTGTAGATATGTCAACTAGTTGTCTTGTGCTTTCTGTCTTGCCTCGCCGTGCCTCGATGTGCTATCCGTGCCGAATCTCGAGTGAATGTTTGGCATTTCGCTGAGATGGCGCTGGTGGAGCCGTTTTCCAACCGCTCCTTGGCTGCTGGTCGGTTGGATCTGAAACCTGCAGCGTCTTCTGCAAAAAGGGTTTCCTGGTTTTCTTTTGGAAACCACCGTGTTCTTTGTATCTTCTTGTGTCTTGTGTATTATGTTTGTGTTTTCCAGAAGCCACGTGTCTTTGTTATCCCAGTTGCCCAGTGGTGCCCTTTTTTCCTACTTTTTTTGCAAGGGTTCCCCTTCAAAGTGAACCAACCAAAGAAGGTTGCCCTTTTTCCCATGGCCACTGGACATCTGACTTATGCCTCTTGTTGTTGTTTGTTTTTCTTTTTTTTCGTAGCCACTTGTCTTTGTCATGCCTCCAGGGTGTTTTTGTTCTTCGTTTTTCAGTGGCTACGGCGCTCGCAGGCCTGGTGCTGACCTGCGCCATGCGCTGCGGCGCCCACGCGCGGTCCCTGCAGTTCCTGGAGATGGAGCTCATCGAACAGGCGGCTCTCGCTCGCGTGCGCGAGTCGGCGCGCGTTGCGTTCGAAACGTCTGGGGGAAGCTCCTCCTTGGGACGCTGGA